GTCGGCTACTCCACGGACGATTCCCCCATTGCGTCATGGCCCAGCTCAGACCAAAATCTGGACGGCAGCTCCAGCAACCTCCCTGAAGTGAAAGACTCTCCCCCCAGCCCTCAGGAGCCGTTCTTCAAACCTTCCCCTCTGGCTGAAGAAAGCCCCGGCCTCCTTAACTCCCCCAAGCCGCTGGAGAGCAGCCCCCTCAAGGAAGAGCAGGAGGCTGTAGAGAAACCCCCGCCGAGCATGTCCAGCGGTGAGGAAGAGGAGGATGAAGATGGCAGCAATGACTCCCCCTCTTCCAACTCCTCGCGGCCCCTCAAGGTGCGGATTAAAACCATCAAGACGTCTTCTGGCAGCATCACCCGAACGGTAACCAGAGTCTCCTCCGACTCGGAGCCGGGAACAGCCAAACTACCATTGGAGCCAGGCTCTCAGGAGGCTGCCAATGAGGGTGGCATGCTCTCGGCATCAGCGGTGAAAGAGGAGAGCAGCCTGGAGGTGCCCAAAGAGAAAATGGAGCTCTCCAGCCCCCTGAAAGTCATAGAAGGGCCCAAAATAGTCAGTGTGCAGCTGGGCAACGGCACCAAAATCAAAGGCACCGTCCTGCCGGTCACCACCATCCAGAACGCTAGCAGTGCCATGCTGATCGCCGCCAGCGTGGCCCAGCAGAAATCCGTGGTGCTGCCGAGCAAGGCGGTGACCAAGAACATTATCAACTTGGTGCCACAGACCCTCCCCAAAGCTGACACCAGGACCAACGTCAGCACGGTGACCCAAACCACTACCATCACCACCACAGCCAACCAGAAGGTCAACGGCACCACGGTGGTGATGGTGCAGCCGCAGAAGCCTTCGCCCACCCTCGCCGGCACGGTCATTTCCAGGAGCCAGTCCAGCCTGGTGGAGGCTTTCAACAAGATCCTGAACAGTAAAAACCTCTTGCCCACCTACAAACCCAACCTGAATCCTCCAGCGGACTCCAGCCTGACCCTCCCGCCCTTCGGGTACCGGTGCTTGGAGTGCGGGGACTCCTTCGCCCTGGAGAAGAGCCTGGCGCGGCACTACGACCGGCGCAGCATGCGCATCGAAGTGACCTGCAACCACTGCACCAAGCGCCTGGTCTTCTTCAACAAGTGCAGCTTGCTCCTGCATGCCCGGGAGCACAAGGACAAGGGCCTGGTGATGCAGTGCTCTCACTTGGTCATGCGGCCTATTGCTCTAGATCAAATGATCGGCCAGCCGGACATCACCCCCATCGTCTCAGTGACCTCCCTGGCGGCCGGCAAAGTGGCAGGGGTTGCTCTGG